ATCCCATTAAGCTTGTACGGATCAGACTTGGAAGAAAGTTGAGAACAAAACTTCCTATAATCTTTGTCATCATAGAGTCTTATGATCCCCGTTTTATGGGAACTGCCATGACCGACGGTAAACATTCCATCACCATCACCCTTGTCACTCTCAATTAAACTTCTTTTCTTCTTGGAAAATGAAGTAGAGAATTCCTCTATAATCTTTCTTTATCTACTTAGGAAATGTTAAAATTCCTGCCTATACCATCTCTAGTTGAAACACATGTCATTGCAGTCTTAACATCATTGTCGCTAACGAGAACAATAATTGATCAAAAGACACACCCTGTCAGCTACTGTATCCAAGTTATTCTCTGTATCCAAGTTCATCCCGAGTAATAGTACCATGAGGATAATCACCAAAGCCACCGGACAACTTTATGATGCCAATGAAGCAAGATAAGCTATTCAATGAAACTCGTATTGTAAAGAAGAAGAAAGAGACTGATTCAGAAAGGTGGGTCGAGGGTCGAGCCTCGACTATACGTGTAAGTTTTTTACTTATCATTAAGTATTTTGATTTACTTTTATATAAATTTTGAAATATTAATTCAATATAATTTTTCTTATAGGTTCGCTTCACAGCTGATGTGGGGGAATTCATACGAAGTCAGCCACCTAACGAGTCGGTTGAGACAATCCAACTTTCGAACGAGGATGCTAAAAGAACACTCCTTGAGTACTTTATATACTTTGAACTAGACAATAGAACTAGTTTTCGAATGAGCTTGTAATAAACGTTAACATAGTTTTGTTAGTTAATGTTTTAGTTCTATTGATCTTTATATTTTGTTGCGTTTTAGTGTTGTTGTTGTTGTTGTTGTTGTTGTTGCTGGCATAAAATGCCTGTTTAGGATATTTGGTATAAGCTGGCAGGTGGTATAGCAGCCAAAACAGGCAGTTTCTGCCAAAAACCAAAAAAGCGACCAACTTTGGTGTCCAGTTGGTCGCTATTCACTTAAAAAAAAAATCTGTAATTTTGCGACGGTTGGTCGCTTATAGTTAAAAAAAAAATTAATACTTGTCATTGGCGACCAATATTGGTTGCCCATAAAAAATTAAAACATTTATTAATATAGCGACCAAAGTTGATCGCTTAATATAGAGTTAAAAATAAATAAAAAAAATTAAACGTTATTTACATCTGGAGACCAACTTTGGTTGCCAAATATATAATATTAAAATATTTGAGCGACCAAAGTTGGTCGCTATATGCTTTGCCCGAAAAATTTGGTCCTTTTACCTGAGAGACCAATGTCGGTCGCTATTTAGCGACCAACTTTGGTCCCTAAGGTAAAGGGACCAGCTTAATATCGACCAGGCGTGGTTGGTCGCTTTTTGGCCAATAAGCGACCAACGTTGGTCGCTTTTTTCCGGAATTCTAGTAGTGGAATTGAGAGACAAAATCCTTACTGATTCTAGACTTGCTAGAATGGGCGTATCAGTACCATATAGGTGTATCTGCTGTAGAGAATAAAGTTTGGAACCATAGATCACTTGTTCTGTGAAGGTACTTTTTTGCTTAAGAACTGAGGGAGAAGATTGGGTGGGCCTCTAGGGATAGACTACTTTGGTATTCAACACATATATTTGCTTATAAACTGATGGAGTTGTAAGGCTTAAATCCTATCCATGCTTATATTAATAAGTGTCTTCCAATAATAGCCTCATGGAAAATTTGGAAGGCCAGGTGTAGTGCCAAATATAAAAATATCGCACCCAATGTGAATATAACTTTATCTTTTATTTCCTTCTACATGGCTCAACTTGTGAATATGCAGTTTCAAAAGATGAAGTTGGATCATAATTGGTCAATCATAACTCAGTTGATATGTAGTGCCATTCATTTTAAACAATGCATCCCATTACAGTAGATCAGACCTCCATCCTTTTTTTGTGAAACTAAATTTAGATGGTAGTGTAAAAATGGTATATGTGGTGGTGGAGTAGTATTCAGAAATGATAAAGGATGTATGGTTTTTGCTTACTCTATAGTACTGGGATGTGGAACTAACAACTGGCAGAGGCATTTGCATTAGTATTTGGCATCAAATGGTAGTTTGGCTAATAGTTATCAGTGCATTATGGCAGAAAGTGACTCTAAGCTGTTGGTGGACTGTGTGAATGGTATTAACACCACCCCTTGGAGGATAGCTACAGAAGTTCAAGAGCTCAAAGAGATCATGAACCAACCCAATGTTATAAGAAAGATAATCAGGTGGCAGACATATTGGCCTCACTAAGTCACAATGCAACTCAATCCCTGATGTGTGACTCCTTTGTAGAGCTGCCTACTCAAGTTAGAGGTCTTTTGGATATGGATAGATGGAGATGGCATGTTTTTCGAAGATCTATATAAAAAAAAATCCAACATCACCTTCGATCCACCTTTATCCCTAGATGTTTTATAAATTAGTAGGGTTAGTCCTTTTGGAGGTTCTTTTGTATGGAATTGATACTCATGGTTGATGCCATGTATCCTCTATTACACTACAGGAAATATGAGATACGACGACATTTATTTGATGACACTTCTAATAAATGTCGGTGAATAATTAATTTATTGACATTTGTTATAAAAATGTCACAAAAATACCTACGTTTGATGAAAAATGTCAGCAAACATTTTGACATTTTATTCAAATGTCACATTATTAGAAATACAACTAGATTTAGTTAGCAACATTTGTATTAAATGTCAGAAAAACTTGCCAAGAAGAAAAAATAATTTCGGGAGACGATTAGTCTTACTTGGGCTTTCTTTTCTTTTTTATAAAATTCCAAAAGAAAGTTAAAAATATTAAAACTCTATTTCCTTAAGAACTCTTCAAGTCGTAGGCCGCAACCTCCAAAATCTCCATTATCAGTTTATCTCGACTTCTTTCGTTGGTTTTGATCCCAATAGGCGGGTAAGATTTTTCTTAATTTTAGATTTATATATCTCAGTCTTCTACATCTTGTTTCTGGCAGCTTTTCGTTGTTATGTTCATAGCCCTAAAATTGCAATCTATAGGCTGGAGATTTCCTTTTTTAATCTTTGTTTCGTTTCAAAACCTAGAAGTGCCGCCGCCGAAACTGAAATTTCCGCAAACCTGTTGTCTGAGTGGCGATTTCTGATCAGGTTCATCAACTCTAACTCATTTTCTATAACAGCTTGTTTGGATGGTTGTTACGTATCGTTTCATATTGTATCGTATCGTATTGTATTGTATTGTACTGTATCGTTTGATGAATACAATGTTTGGATGGATTGTGTCGTTTTGGCGTCGTTTCATGGTATCACGCACATGTGATATGATGAATAAACTTGCAATATTATAAAGAAAAATTATGATACGGTATATAAAAAGGTAGGGTAAATGATAAAATAAAATTATTTAATAATAATGAAGGGTGAGATTTAGAGAAAAACACAAGGAAACGACGCGACCACACCAAATCGGTCGTTACATAAAGTGGCACATTTCATCGTTACGTAACGACGAATTTAACGATACGATACAATAAAATTTAAGTAACAATCAAAACAAACATTGTATTTAAAGTAACAATACGATACGATAGGTAACAACCATCCAAACAAGCTGTAAGTTTGGTCTTTTTGTTTTCGAGATAAATGAGATTTGTGATATTTAGATCAAAAGCATTGATATCTGTCTTTATTGTTTATTTCAATTTCCTTTGTATAGGTGAATTTCTTGCAAACATGGTTACAGTTACTACATATGAGGTAAAATGGCCTTAATGTTGTTTTGCTACTTGCCCTTTTCCTTAATCACTTGGTGATAGCCTTTTTTTTTTCTTTTCAATTTCAGATCTTGGTTACACGTATTTTTGAAGGTTGTGAGATCAACTGATATGAAGGAATTTTGACTTGGTAAAGGCATGGACTTAAAAAGACACATGGATAAGGAAGCTTTGAAGTGCATTGGCGTTTTTGTAAATCTCAAGGGAACAATATCATTACGATTATTTTTGGGGTCAATGTTATGATTATATGAATTGTATGTAGTTTATGAATCTTGAAACTTTTGCAATGAATAAAAATATTTATGTTAGTGTAAAGTCAATCGCAGTTGATAGATTACTTTATATAACACATATCAAAACAAAAAGGGACTAATTTTTGGCATTTATGATAACTAGTAGTCGTATCCGCGCGATGCGCGGTCAATATTAAAAAAATATTTTGTCACTTTGTTAATTTTTCGATGTTACATTTGAAATTATCACAATTATTTGATTATCCTATTCTATATAAATACAATAGATATTGTCTAAATTTTCATAAATAAAATCTCCATTAAATTAAAGGAACTTATATAGTCATCAAATAATTTTTTTGTTATATTTTTTTATTTATTATATTATCAAATATTTAGTATAATTATATTGTTAATAGAAATTATGACACTGGTCATTATAACATTTCTTTGCCTCTCCTATTATATATATATATATATATATATATATATATATATATATA